TATACAATCTAGACTATATTCTTCGTTAACTTTTCTTCAAACCATTACTTTAGAACTGGAATCAAATAAATTAAATTTGATCTCATAAGATCATATAACTTTTTTCTCAAAAGGATAATTCTTTGCAACATATTTTACCACATACTTTAAATGTTCTACTTTATTGATAATAATCTCGAATAATCAACTTCATTTATTCCATATTTTACCGTTGTCGTAAGTATTGTTATTTCTAATTGATTTTGTATTTCTTGACAATGTACTGAACCATTATTTGTGGAATATTCATGTACTTCGCAATTCTACCTAATGAATCTTCATTTAAATGGCGATTAACTATCAAATTTCAAAAGACTTTTGAATATTCGTTTTGTTTTAGATGTCATAGTTCATTTTGTCAAGAATCGAATAATTATACTGAAGAGTGAGAGCAAGAATCAAACAATTGATCACTTTTAGCTAAGCTGTTTCACTAAAATGTTGATTAATTTAAAACATGTTTATTTATTTTCCCAGATAACTTTTCGACAACGAACACACGAGAACAAAAAAAGAGTAGAATTTCGTTATTCGATGGTTGTTTCTTTCTAACTCCGCAGAAAAGAAAGATTTCAATGCACGTATATATTTTAAAAAAAGTACAAATCATCACGTTCAAATGAAGTAAAATGTATAATATATGAGTTAAATACGTATTAAATGATAAATATGTTTAAAAAAGAGCAGCTGAAGCAATAATTTACATAGGGCGTTCAAAAAGTTCTGAGCTCTATGTATACTTAGTTGACATAGACTCTTTTTTTAAAGAAAAAAAAGCATTTTTTGTCAGTTCCTAAAAATATTTATAAGTTCTTTTAATTGGGTATTATAATGGTGTACAAATTCTTCTTCCAAATCCATCAGTACCCGTTTCATAATATTCACAACATATATGAGAAACTTCTTGGCTTTTTTTTGTATACATAATGGGTGAGCCGAAAGTTTTACAACTGAATGTTTGTTTGTTTATTTTTCACTAGTCCGAAAGTGTTTTCGAGAAATCAAAAGCTACGGATTATAATCAGAAATTTGTACTCTTTCTTAATGTAAGCTTAGAAAATTTTCTTGAGACCAATAAGATGATCTTTTGGAAGATTCAAAAAATAATTTGAATGGAAATTTGTTCCGTCACATTTTTGTACTTTCATTATTCCAATTCGAAAGTAAATGTTGATACCTTTATTAATATATGAACTTGTAGAATACTAGCTACCTTACAAGAATTACTCTTGGAGTTTTTTTTGTTTTTTTACAGATTATTTCAATTTTTGTTTATCTTAAATCATCATATATAGGTTTTGCCTTGTCTGAGATACTTTCAAGCATATTAAAAAATGAGCAACCATTTGCACGAGAACATTGATGTTGATGCTACACAATCAAAGATTTAATAAAATGTAAAATGAAAAATTTAATTTGTCTATTAGCTATCTTTCTAACATAGAATTCATTATTTATGTAATGCATTATCGTATACCAATACTTACTGGCACAGACTCTTCTTCCAAATTCATCAGGGCCCGCTTCACAATATTCATTTTCACAGACACATTCATTAGTTGTACTATCAGATTGAGTACCTTCATCGCAACTTCAAACACATTGATTAGCCGAAATGAAAACATAATATGGCTTTGGGCAAACTTTGAAAAAAAATGCAAATCATTTAAATAATATTAAGTATATGAGATAATGCGCAATTTGTCTAATATGATGTCATTGATTTCTGATATTAGATCAGTGAAAGACGACTATAAAATTTTGACTACAGAACAGAATATAAGTAGGTTTGTAGAGAAAATCTTTCTGTATTCTATGAGTTATACGCAGTATCAGCTTCCACTGTGATCTCTATCAACATACGAACAATATGCAGTATCATTTTATTTTTGTAATGCACACACTTAGATAGAGAATGTCTTTCTCTAGAAGCCTACATGTGTTCCTTTCTGTAGTCAAAAATCATCGATAACTTATAGTCATCTTTTCGGCAAGAATAACGCTACTTATTTCGAAATATTTCATTTAGAAATATCAACCTTTTTTGAAGAGTTCTAGATCCTATCAATCGGGGTGTGGATGCGAGTATGGATGTTCTCTTCAACAGAACCCACACCCTAGTTCTAGTTTCAATTTTGAATTATCTACATGTCATATCTCAATGCTTTTCTCATACTCTTAAGAGCTGTAAAAATTTTACAAAAATTTTAATCACATTCTGTCCTCATTCGAACTTGACTAACATTACATCTATTACAAAGTCCACCTGAAATCTGTGAATGGTTTTCTGTGACAGACTCCTTCTTATAGAAAGCGTGTACATGTGTTTTCGTGGCACCTACATCAAGAGACTTGTGGAGAGAGTCTGAAAGTTGCATTAAAACGTGAAACTTAAAACGTGGATTGAATTCAACTTTCAAGTTCGACATATACTTAGGGCATACCAAAAGTCTTCACGGTCCTATATCAATTTCTGATAGAATGCTTGAAGAAATTTTCTTTTTATATAGACTGATAGTAAAAACCAAGCTCTACATTTCTACACTATTTGATCATTATTCATCTAATATCATAATAATAAAATTTCGATGAAAACTATTTTTGTGTGTACTTGACTAACGGGTGAGACAGATAAAATATTTCCATCACCTGATACGTTGTATTAAAAAACAAAATATACTACAAGATGCAGCGTGAAAAGTTCTACAATTTATAAAGAACAGTTTATTTTATATATGAAATAAGAAGAAAGGAAGTTCTCTTCATATAGAAAAAATGATTTTTTCGAGGCAGCAAAAATTGGTCTCACAGGATTTTACTTTTTTTTTGAAAACAAGAAGTAAACAGTTAAAATAAGCTTTACTTTGCAGACTGTACAGCTTTTCACGCTGCATCTTGTGGTGTATATTGTTTTTTAACACAACGTATTAAGCGATGGAAATATTTAATCTGTCTCACTCGTTAGTCAAGTTCACACAAAAATAGTTCTCATCGAAATTTGATTATTATGACATTAGATGAATAATGATCAAATAGTGTAGAAATGTAGAGCTTGATTTTTACTATCAGTCTATACGAAAAGAAAATTTCTTCAAGCATTCTATAAGAAATTGATATAGGAACGTAAAGACTTTTGGTATGCCCTAAGTATGATAATTCTCTATAATGACATATAGAGTTTTATGACAATTTGCTACTTACAATACCATCTTCTTAGTAATGGAATCATAAATATAGAGATTTTGAGTCATAGATATAAAGGAGATATCAAAAGCAGTGAATTTTTCCTAGTTGGACATCGATGAAGCAGCTAGTCTTTGACAGTTGAATCAAGAAATGTGTAACCGATCGAAAATGAAAGAAAGTGAAAACAAACATCTCCAAATCAATGAAATCCTCCTTCTTCTCACTCGAAAATAATCGATTTTCGTCAGAACAATAGAAATTTAAATAGGCGCATAGTACAATAGCCTGAAGTCTGACTTTGCACAATCAACAATATATTTTACTGACACTTCTTTTTTGTCTAGATTTTTCATGACTTTTGACATCTTGAGGATCTGGATATGGGTTATTGTGAATGGGAAGATGAGTGTGAGTAAATGTTTGAACAGAAGACTCACACCCACATCCTCAAGTGCTCACTAGATTGTGCAATTGTTCTCGTTTAACTAGAATAGTGACCATGTGACTACACTATTTCATCAAAAAAGCAAATGCAGCATATGTTACTACTTTGTTATCAAGCCATTCACGTGCCCACAAAAGCAAGGTCATATTTTTTTTCTTTCACTATCAAAAGACCTTCTCTTGTATTGTTCTGCGTCAAGAACAGATAAGAATTAACATGCAGTCACATTTTTTTGACTTTCTTTCTTCGACACATAACAATACTGTAGTACACTGCACCGTAGTCGATGATAATGCTAATAATTATTTACGCATTTGTAACGCTTGCTATTTCTATTTTCTTCATCATCTATTGGAATATAATTCGTCCAGAGAAGAAAATATACGATGAACTTCGTAGTCAAGGTATTCCGGGTGAACCGTTTATCCCAATTATCGGTCAACTTTCACGAATGAGACGTGCTCGAGAAAACGATGAACTTGTTGACTATCTGAGTGAACTATTCCAGAAACATGGAAATTATTTTATGTTTTCTATGGGTCCTCTAGTACGAATAATGCTCAGTGAACCTGACATGCTTTCGGATGTTCTTGGCCGAGCACATGCACAAGATTATTTTAAACCAACTCTATTTCTTACCGTCTTCGAATCATTAACTGGCACACGCAATCTTTTAGTCAGAGAAGGATTAGATCATGAGCGAGCTCGAAAAATGCTCAATCCTGCTTTTCATTTTACGAATCTAAAATCGATGGTGTCCATCATGGCTGATCAAACATCTAAAGCAATTGATCGATTGCTAATGTCATCCGACGAAAAATTCATTGATTTTCAGAAGGAGTTTAGCTCATTAACACTGGAAATTATCATTTCGAGTGCTTTCGGCACGGGTCTAGAAACTATGCCTAATGCTAATGAGATTATATACCAATCAATCTCGGATATTTTAGAGATAATTAGATATAGAACAATGCGCATGATCAGTCAAGTTCCTCTACTAGCACGATTGCCTTTCTGGCGCAAACAACTTTTGGATGAAAATTCTCGAAGAGTGTCCAATTTCGTTGAACAAATCATTGCTGATCGACGAAAAGGTCGATCTGCTAGTTTGTGTGCCGGCGCTGACCTCCTCGATCTACTTCTCTCAGCTGTGGATGATGAAGGACAACCATTTAGTGATCAGGAAGTGAAAGACGAGGCGTTGACTTTTGTGGTAGCGGGTCATGAAACAACCGCTAACCTTATGACATGGGCCATGTATGTTTTGATGACAAACGAGTCTGTATTACGTGCCTGCTGTGAAGAAGTTGATCAGGTATTGCCGAATGGAATGATACCCAGTTATGAACACATGAATGATTTACAAGTATGCGAAGCTATTTTACAGGAAACACTTCGTCTTTATCCGCCAGTGCCCTGGTTTGTACGAAAATGTATTCGAGAGCACACCATCGGTAGTGACGGTCACCATCAAGTGCGTATTCCTGTCGGCACAACCATTGCAATTATGACTTACATGCTCCATCGACGTGCTGACTTCTGGCCTCGGCCACTTGAATTTGATTATATGCGATGGATGCGTAATCCGATGACCGGTCTCAAACCGAAACTTACTCATCCTTTCTGCTATTTACCCTTCGCTGCTGGTTCACGTAATTGTATTGGACAAAATTTTGCCTTGCTCGAAGCCAAAGTTATGTTGGCTATGTTCGTACAACGATGTAATTTTTCAATCGAGCCTGGTCAAACAATCGTACCTCAGATTACTATTACGATGAGACCTAAGTATGGGTTAAAAGCTAGAGTAACGAAACGATCATAGAACATCATTCCAAAAGAATATCGAATTCTACGTATGAATATACCAGTCACGATTTAGTATAAACTATCAATAGCATTTGTTTTGAACTATCTTTACTTCTTGAAAGATTACAAATATGCCTCTAAAATCCTTTATTGAATTGGGTGTGGTCGTGGGTCCTCACTGCACTCACATCTATTCACATTCATGCTCAATCTGAAAATTTCAGAATGATTTGCTGATAATGTGATTAATTTATCATAAGACATTCAGCTCTGATTATACTTTCGTTTACGAGATAGTTGGGGTATAGATCAAAATGGCTATATTGCCATATTACTTGAAAATTCAATATATTAGGACAGAAGGTCAACGGCACGAATCCTTCTAGGATTGTGCTAGTCTAGAGATCCCCTCTATATGCTCAAAGTATGAGCTCAAAAGTGGTTAATCACTCCGGGCAGTTCCCTCGTAAGTGTGATTTATAGTTACAGCTACAGTGACGCGTTTAACTTTTGAGGACAGAATTTTTTTAAGTCAAAAAGTGGCTCCTTTGTCATTTTGTTTTATTTTATTTAGTTCAAAATGATTACATAAAAATCTTATGATAATCAAAAAAACAATATTTCTCTTCTTTTAAACAGAATGCTAATTTGCAAGTCATGCATTCGACGTTGAATCTAATTCGTACTTCCTTTCATGCTACAGTAAATACATCTTCTTCGTGTGTCTTTCATAGGCAAATGTATTTCATTGGTAAAATGAAGAACAGATTGTGATGATGCCGCTTTAGACTTCGTTTCAGCATCAGGTCTTTCACGATTTATTCGTTCAGTACTAGAACAGAGAGACTTCATCATTGAAATCATGTAATTTAAGTATGTGGGTGTGGAAAAAGAGAAGACCTACACCCACACTCTCACATATGTAATGCAAAAACGAGCGAGAACTAGAATGTTTGCGTTGGTGAAAATGAGCGCAATCATCTTCTTTTCGTCGTGACATTTTCATTCACATCCGATCGCTCCACTCTCAACACTCTTCTGTGAGCGCATTGATAGCAAAATTTAGTACTGACAGCATGCAACAAACGTGTATCAACAACCGTTGGCAAGCTATTACCTGTCGATCAATTGAAATCGGTGTGCATAGTCATTAGCGATGTATAAACAACTCAACGCCTCGAGTCAAAGAAAAAATGGAAAGTGTGATGAATAGAGTGAGAGAGTCGCCTCGCATTTCAAATAGTAAGTAAAATGTATGGAGTTGATGGCATGAAACGAATTGAATGAGGGCGAGAAAAATAAGTCGATGCTTGGTGAGTATAAAACAGGATAGAAAATTTGTTTCAGCGCTACTGTTGCTTATTGCTAGCAGAGCATTTTCTACATTGAATAAAGTGTATGCTATTGAATTCGAGCATAAAATTATTCATTGCAGATAAATAAAACCATGAATGATAGGGTTGAAGATGAATTGGAAAAACTAGTAGAGAATGAAGATACTCTCGGCGAAATGATGACTATTCCCATCAATATAGAGGAAATGGCCGAATCCTCAAACATAACGCCGATATTGGAGACGAAGCAGCAGGATTCTGCTGTTAATCAGAAAGCTAACACTATCGCTGATATCTGCGTATTGGGCATCGGCTTGTGCGCTTTTTCTTTTCCAGTGGTAGTACCGAGTAAGTAATGATCTTATGTCTCTTGTTTTTCATTGCATCTATCACTAGCTGTTTGATCAGCCACTAAAAATCGTTCACATGATAGATAAAAACATTCTTTTTCATTTTCATCTTTCGACTTGAAGGTCTTGGTTAATTTTTGGACGTATTTTCCACTGTATTGCCGAAGTCATTTGTTATTTTTAGCTCTTAAGTTGGCTATCGGGTGGCGTCATGTTGATGAGTGCCCAGTTAATCCACGAATTCCCCATTATATGGTGGTTGCAGGTGCTGTAGGTCTTGTGAGGACTGGTATACGTATTATACGCATAAGTATCAAAATTCGTTCCATAGGTCGATCAGACACTTCGAATTCCGAGAATACTCCCACGGGTTCTCTTTGGTTTAGTCGTATTTATCCTGTCGTTAGTTTCGGTCTGGATGTCTTTCTCATTGGATGGTTCATCTCTGGATTCATCAGCATATTTAGTGTACGGAACAAAGTTCAATTTTATGATCCATCACTATCTAATTATTGTCATCCGACTTTGTATCGATTCGCCTCTTGGTCACTCTTACCGTCGTTCATACACAGGCTACTATCTGCTTGTAAAATTGTTTTGAAACTACATTTGAGTACAAAGACAATGGAAAAAAAGAAAGCGAAGACATTATGAACATCCATTCCATGAATATTTCACAGACAATACATGACTTAACCGAAGATTTTATATTCATTAGACAGTATGAAAACAAATGTGCACCTTTGTTTTCAAAAATAAACTTGAATATCTAAATGAATATTTAGGACTTATGCCAAACAATAGAGAGAGAGAGAGAGAGGAGGGAATCAGCGAAAATTGATCAAAAATGACATTGAGATGAGGCTTTCGAGAGTGTGTGACACTACATTTGTTTCCACTATCTAAAACTATCAGATAGGTCGTTTATGTGGTGTATTATGTATAGTGGTTTTTTATAATCGAATATTTTTTAGAATAATATATGTGTACAAAACGATCGAACAACTGTATTCGATCATATATACGAAGGTGTAACTAGCAATGCGAAAGCCTTTAAGTTTTGATGTAGGATATTATAGATACAGATTTGATCATTTTTAGGGTCAATCCGTTCAGAAACTTTTTTCAAACATACTTTCACAAGTTTTTCGATATATCTGATAATAAGCGAAAAAAACCGAAAATACTGCTTTTTTTTCTCCGATTGGATAAATTCTAGCACAAAGTAATTTTGGCGTCGATTCGCCCATAAGCTTCTTTCAACACAACTATGCATGTTTCAAATATAACTCGAAAAGTTTTATTAGAGGATAAAAACCATTTTCAGATGATATGAGTGTAGGTGTGGGCAGGGCTGGGCGAGGCCGAGTCATCCTGAGTCATTTATTTAAGAAAATTTTCATTTGCGCTTATATAAAGAAACCTTACTTTATAGAGTCAAATTCTTACTCATTTATAACTTTCGTTCTAACTGAATAAACCGTATCTGACTAATTGTTTCAAGAGATTTCTGTCGATCTACATATTCATATGCTCGTGAATGATAGCGTATGCGTAGTGTCGAATATGTGTGCTTTTTTCTTACTTTTTTATTTCGTCTCACCTTGAATGCCTGTATATATGTATATAATGAAATAAACGAAAACTTCACAATGGATCACTCATCATATTCTTTACTACACTATAATATAATTGTTGTGTAAAAGTATTTTAATGATCAAAATTTGATGATCAAATTTTTCCATTATTCATTTCATATTATTAACTTCTCAGCAAGGAGTGTACGCGTGGGCATATCATCTTGTTTTTATCCACACTCATCCCTTTACTTTGAAAAAAAAACTTAATATCGATCTCTTAATAAGCTTCCTAGAAAAGTTATGTGTACTTCTGCCATAGAAACACCAGATGAATAATTATTTTCTCACAATAGAATTCAATGAGATCGAATTTTTCAAGTTTTACAGATACTAATATTTCCATTTTTACATCTTTAAAATGCAATAAGGTAAGGCATTTGATTTAAATTGTAATAAATAATTTTTGCTTCGAAACAGGTTTAAGGTTTGGTTTTTGTTTACTATAATATTATATCTTTTTACTATAGTGTGACGCTGTATAAAAGAGACTTGATTTTACCTGTTCCTATTTTGTTGATTAGTCTGTTCTAGTCGTCTCATTTTATTTTATGTGTAATCTATTTTGATTTTTGTGCAGAAAAACTAGGACCTGAATCTTTTGTAATGAAAAAATTTGTGATTGATATTCTTGATAAGCATGAACAGAACACGAAATAAGTAGTAAAAATAGCTTGACTCGACTCGAGAAATGACTTGATTCACCGAGTCCTGCTGTATGTCAAGTAACTTGCTTTGTACAGCATTTTGCTATGAATAACGGTACTCAAATAAAGAAGGATTTTTCATTTTTTACGGCAAATTCTGCATCTCTACGATATTCTCTTGTTTTCAATTAAGGTACATGATTTCAAAGTTTTCATGCTGATGCTGATTGTCTTTTATTTTGGCATTTGGTGTGCCTATCTATAATCTCATATATGATGTTCTATTTTTTTTTAAAGAAAATTATGAAATTCGTGGTTACAGTGTGGGTGTGGCTGTCATTGTGGGTATTCCATGTATCTACATGCACACCCACACCCTACGACAACTGAACATTGATCTTGTAGCGTATTGATTTTCGAACGCTAACTTATGGAACTAGCACTCGATGCGCTTCCTTTAAATACATGTGAATGCCTATGTTCACTTTTCAATACAAGGTTTAATTAGGATCTTATTGATCGTTGATAATTCAATTGTTTTATGTCTGACATTGGTGAAAAATGGAAACGAAAAAAATCACTCAATTGCTCTCGGTTAATATAAGAAAAAATGCCAAAACTCTTTCATAAACTAATATGACATTAGTGATTACGAGAAACGTTTGCATGTTCAAGAAGATATGACACAATTCCGACTTATATGTCGATTCACTTAACGATGGTATACATCTGTCATAGCTAGAAAAGCATCAGCAAACTTGTGCACTTAATTGATTGAAGGAAATGAGTTTTATTCACGATTTTTTTTTCGCCAATTAGAATGATGAATTACATTGAACTCATTTCATACCAGTTTTATATTGTTAACTTCATCAAGCGATGCTTTTTTTCTTAATCAATCATCTCCTCGTATAGGACGACCACATGTGCAAAGATTCGCCGAATATGCAGATAAACAAACACCCTCGTACTTGTAATTATTGGCCTTTGCTGGTGTTGTACGTGATCGTGTATCCAGCAGACGACGACGGGCATCTATCAAGTCTCGCGCATTATCCTGTACCGATTGAACATGATAGTTAACGCTAAGAAAATGATAAATGAAAAAAAAGAGACTCACTTTGTATTGAAGATAGAGTAATATAGATGCTCGAGCATCTTCTGTCGCTAAATGGCCATTTTGAGCATTGAGATCAATGTTTAATAGTACCATGGCTTCGTGTGCTAGAGAGAAATATCTACACAACTAATTTATTCTACTTTCAAGTCAAATTTTGCATGAACACACCTATATTGTTGTCTATTTATCGTTCTAAACCATTCGCTGAGATCAATAAAATACGAGTAGTGTACACCTTCCTCTAGTTGGAGCCATTTGATATCACCTTGTGGTTTTTGACCAACAATAATGGTCGTCGGATCAAGTAGCGCATAGATCTGAGAAAGCCGCAAAACATTGCAAGTCAATTTTATTCTATTAGAAAACAATACACAATACTTTTTCGAGTACTTCGTCGAACGATGGTGCCTGTTCCAGATCTTTTATTCGCAGTCCTGTCAGTGGATAGAGATCACTGACAATTTCATCCTTGGGTTTGATGAGAGAGCTAAAAATAATTTGACACTGACTGTCGACTAAAGCAACACTGCATGGAGCTCGATCTTCATGTGTAAAACCTGTTGCCATACATTCAACATCAATTGACACAATACGATTGTTAGCAGAATTTGTACATGCCATACTATATGATTTTTTAATGTTTTCTTGCGTTCAGATAAGATACTAGAAAACCTATAAAAAAAAGACAGATACCCATCATTACCTTTGTGCATATATCAGTCATTGTGTCTATTTCAAAAGAAAATCAATTATGCATAGTATAGATATTTATTGTATGTCGTACGATGAAAGCGCGTTGTTTTTGCTTAGAAAAAACATGTACTAAACTCAAGCGTCATTTAAATAAGAATCTTATCGAAGTCATGTCTTGAATAAGGCAAGAATTGCACAACGAAGTAAAATAATATGACTAATAAAAATGACGCAGAAAAGCAAGAGAACGAGAAAAAACACGCAACTATATGTTGTTACAAACTAACAGTGACAAACGAAACCTTGTCAATAATATACAGTCCTTCTTTTTTATCAGATAGAAGAGCGCATGATTAATAAGACATCGACTTTACAATTATGATCACAATGTATGATCTCCAAGGATCTCTAATCAAGAAGAGAGGGTGGATGTTATTTAAATGAAGAATAGACACCCACACCTCACACCCCGCAGCTCCGTGAAAATTTTGCTGAACGTTTCAAAACTTTTATCTTAAGTAACCGTACAGAAGATTTGGATATTGCTGCTCTTGTTTGTCAATTAAAAGGGTGTAATACGATTGATAATGCTAATCTAGTTTATAAACCAAGCAAAATTACATTCAATTCTGATGAATACTTCAAAACATGATCTAACTATATTTTTGAAATTTTTCTTTTTTTGCATACGTTTGGCATAGATTTTAATTATTATTTTCTTTTTCTTTTTTGTACGATTGATTTATTAAAAATATAGATGCATTAAAATCAAAGAAATATATGATTTAGTAAAACTATTCAAAATCGTTCTTATCAGTCACCTTATGTATCAAATAAATTAAACAGAGAATATATCATGAATAAATATCTTTTCTATTGTCTGTGGATCTCTTATCGTGAAATCTGTTTTTTTTATAAGACTTTACTATCATGTGTTATCGAGAGTAAACCTTGCCAACAACTATCTTCATTAATGAAAGTTGTTTCACTGATAATCAAGAATGATTGCTTGTTCCAAATAGAGGACTTAAACTACATAGTGAAGAAGTCTGTATTATATGTTCTGGTTCACAGTATTATACAGTAAATTCAATAGAACGTTCAAAATGCTTTATGTTAAATTATAAAGTAAACAAGATCACATTGAATTTTAATGAATAATTTTAATAATTAATAAGAGAATGTTTTCTGATTTTTCTTATGATTGATATATTTCACATACATTTTTCTTTTTCACAATTGTTTTTATTTAGAAGTTTTCAAACTATTTCCAACAGAAATATTTTTCTTGGTAAATAAAAACTCAAAAACCAATAGTCATGTTTTTAAACATTCTATTCAAGTAATTTCAGATACTGTTTGTTTGCTTTCGAAACATGCTCCACATCAAAAATTTCCTGTAACCCAACACCTCTCGTACTTTTATGCTACTTTTATCTTCGCCACATATCTCAATGGTAAAGCACATTACTTTTTTAAACTTTATCTGCATGCGCGATATCACCATTTTTCTTATCACTTTTTTCTCTTCTCAATTTTATCTCGTTGAAAGGGTGAGGGTGAATCTTGAGCGTGGGTGTGGGTGTGGGTGATTGAAAAAGAATAACCCACATTCACATTCACACCCACACCCCACACCCTTCGATTCTCAAGAAAACGTTTGACACTCATATTTGAATGAAACTAAGTCAATAGAAAACAATGGTACAGTGCCACCGATTTGAAAGTTCGTCGCAACTGAGAATAGTTTTTTAGGATAAAAGGTATGAAGACGTAAAATTCGATCAATATTCATAGTTTAATAGTTAGATAGTACGTCAAGTTACTAGAGTTTGCGAAGGGTGTGGGTGTGGGTGTGGGTGTGAGGTGGGTGGGCGTGGGTGTGGGGTGGGTGTGTGAATGTGGGTGTGGGTGTGGGTGTGGGTGTGGGTGTGGGTGTGGGTGTGGGTGTGTGAATGTGGGTGTGGGTGTGGGTGTGGGTGTGTGAATGTGGGTGTGGGTGTGGGTGTGTGAATGTGGGTGTGGG